AAAGAGAGAGAGAGAGAGAGAGAGAGAGATTTTTTTAAAAAGTTTGTAAATAAAAGTTATTGTTTGGAACATCAAATGCCGGGAGGGGGGAAAGAAAAAACAGAAAAGCCCATCATCTTAAACAATATTTTGGAGTATTTCGCACACAATACATGACCAGATCCAAAGGTGCTTTTCAGGATTAGATCAGACACTTGTCCACGCGCCCCCTTCTTCAAGCTGCCTTCTTCTGCAGCATCGCTACCCGCCTACCTCCCAGTTTCATCTGGAAGAATCTTATCCTTTTGATTTATTTTTATTTTTTTATTCTTAAAATCTTTGCAAGGGGATGAATACACTCACAGAGAGAATGACAGTGAGAGTAAGAAAATACGCCCTATGGGGCACGGTCACGCTGCAATCTCTTCCCCATCTCCCTTTCCTTTCAGGATTTTTGGGCACATATGACTATGTGCCTGCTGTATTATTTTTTTTTGAAGGTTTTTTTTTTTTTTTTTTTTTTTGCTATAGGACGCATGCTCTCACCAGACAGAGAGAGAGAGACAGAGAGAGATAGAAAGAGAGAAATCACCCCCCCATGGGGGATGGTCACACGGCAATCCCTTCTCCTCCATTCTCCTCTCGGGATCTTGGGCACGCACGCACACGCGCCTGGTGTGAGTTTTAAGCCACCGGGTCCGGGACGCAAACCACGGTCGACTACATGGGAGTCCAGCGACATAGCCATTATGCTAACTGCTGGTTCCCAAATTTTTATTATTACTTTTTAAAAGTTTGCTGTAAGGTACATGTACAAGCCAGAGAGTAGGAGGATAGCTACTCCACAATTCATTCTTCTTTCAGGATTTTGGGCACACACACACATGCCTGGTGTGTTCCTCAAACCACCAGGTTGGAACTTGAACCATCAGTTGGCCACATGGGATCCAGCCACCTTAACCAGCATGCCATTGGCTGACCCCACTGACCACATTTTAAATGCTGATGCTCTCCAGAGTGTTTCTCACTCTACTTTATGTCCTTGGATGGCCTGATCTATGACAGCTTCAACTATCATCTTTTCCAAATGAAAAAACCTCAAACTTCAGGAATATACGCACACAGACATAAACACATACATGCATATACATATGTACATATGCATGTGTATGTACATGTGTGAGTGTATATATATGCACATGTGTATTTGTATATCTATACACACACAAATTCAAACAGCCCAAGTGAAGACATTGTCCTCCCCACACAAAGTTGCTCTTCTGTCTAGTTCAGAATCATTCAACAATTGAGGACTCCTGACCTGATGTTGAGGGTGTGGCAGGGACCACATAAGCTACCTTTGTGCCCACTCAGCAAATAGCTATGCCATCCACCAAGCTGCACAGTCCGGTCGCTTGGGAAGATTCTCTTCATCTGTCTCTTTGCTCGCCCTCCACCATGACACTAATCACACCCATACCTGAGGGTTTCATCCCTGAATTGTACAGCCTTCCTTCAGTGTTCCCACTGGTGTTGTGGTTCCAGGTCTCACGCTGTCTTATTTCTACTGGTGTAAGAACCTTCTGGCTGACTTCTGTCTGCAGTCTAACCCTCTCTGTGGGTGCTGGAAAATTTCTAGATCTATTCGAGTCTCTTCCCTAGTTAAAATTCCATAGTTTTCAGGATAAAAATTATTCTAGCCCATAAGGCTTTCCTGACTTTTTGCTTGACCTTTCCTTCCTTCCCTTTTGCTACATCCCTTGGGCCTTACCCATGTGAGACTACTGTAGCTATTAAGCAAGTACACAATTACACTTCCAAACACTTACCTATGTTTTTTTTTTTCTCTGCCTGAAACACACATAAACCTCTTCTTCTATCTTGTATGTTTATCTTTTAAACTCAGCTCTGAAACTGTTCCCAAATCTCCAGTTCAATTTGGAAACTCTTTCC